AAAAAAAAAAAAAAAAAAAAAGACTACCTAAATTTAAAGACCCAAGGTAAAAATGGGCACCTAAAATATTCATCTTTGTCTCAGATAAAGAATTAGAAGTGTCAAATGAATATATTAAAAAATGTTCAACATCACTGATCATTCGAGAAATGCAAATTAAAACAATACTGAAGGGGCCGGGGATTTACCTCAGTGGTTCTGCAGCCTGCCTCACAAGCACAAGGTCCTGAGTTTGATCCCCGGTACACAAAAAAACAAAACACTGAGATTCCACCTCACCCCAAAAAGAATGGCTGCTATCAAAAAACCAACCAAGGGGCCAGGGATTTAGCTCAGTGGTTTGGTAGCCTGCCTTGCAAGCGCAAGGACCTGAGTTCAATCCCCGGTATCAAAAAAAAACAAACCAATAGCAAATGTTGGTGGGACTGTGGGGGAAAAGGAGCCCCGCTTCACTGCTGGAGGGAGTGCAGACTGGGGTAACCACTGCGGAAATCAGTGCGGAGATTCCACAGAAAACAAAAAGTCAAGGTTCCTTTTGACCCTGTTGCTATCTTTTTGGAACAATTAAAAGAGTCCTACCACAGAGATACATGCACACCCATGTATATAGCGGCACAGGTTGTGATAGCTAAAACCTGGAAACAGCCCAAATGCCTATCAACTGACGAGTGGATAAAGAAGGTGTGGTTTTTTTATACTTCTGCCATAAAGAAGGACATGCTTCACCCATTTATAGTCAATTGGATGGACCTTGAGACCATGCCTAAGTGAAATAAATCGTACACATGTGTAAATATCGCATTGCCTCTCTGGTGTGAGAAACTGAAGCGGAAATAAGGACTGAGATGTGTAATGGATGTTGGGAAATGGGAAGAAAGGGTTCAGATGGGAAGGGGAACACGGGGGAGGGAGGGAGAGAGGAAGGGACAGGAAAAAAGTGAAAACAGAAGGAAAAATGGAAACAAAGCTTCTGTACACAGGGAGGAAGGGAGCTTGGGGGGATGGGAGAAAAGAAAAGAAAAAGAAAAAGACCCTGTCTCAAAATAAAAAAAGTTAAAAAGGACTGGAGTGCAGCTCTCCGTGAAGGCCCCTGAGGTGACCCCAAGAACACACATGCACAGAAGTAGCACTAGGTGGCTGAAGCAGGAGGATGCCAAGTCCAAGACCTGCCTGAGCAGGTCACAGTCCAGGTGGGCTGGGAGTGTGGCTCAGCACTAGGTGCCTCCCCACCCAACGGCCCCTGAACTCAGGGTGGCGGGCTTGGGCTCAGGGTTTTTTAGTCTTAGCTGTGCCAGTCACCTGGCAGCTGCAGGTGGGGATCAGGCATCCGCACTCTGCTCCAGCTCCTGTTTTTTTGGGGGGAGGGTTTCTTTTTGGTACCAGGGATTGAACTCTGGACCTTGTGCTTTCTAGGCAGGCAGAACCACTGGACTAAATCCCTGGCTGTTTTGTTTTGTTTTGGAGACAGGGTCTCACTCTGTAGTTGAGTCTGGCATGGAACTTGCAATCCTCCTGCCTCAGCCTCTTGAATGCTGGGATCACAAGCGTGGGTCCCCATGCCTGGCAGCAAGTGTTTTAGACTGTCAATTGGATAGTGGCCCCTTCTGCCAGGCCAGTGGCAGGGTCAGGTGTGGGCAGTGGGGCCTGCCCACCCCATCCCCAGGCTGGCACCTATGGGCTCTGGGTCCTTCTGAGGACCCCTGCTATGCTCCATGGGGCTGGGATGTTGCTCTGGGCTGCTGGGTTGCCCAGGCTGGACCCATTCCCAGCACCCTCAAAATGAACACAGGTTCGTGAGTGTGTCCCAAGCTCTCTGTGGTTCCTTTGAGATTCAGACTTAACTGGGCTTCCTCCTGGTGTTAGGAGCTAGGTGTGATTTTGGCTTCATCCGGCTTTGCCCTGGGGCAGCTGAGAAAAGATGCTGGGTCTCAGTTTCTTCCTTTGTAAAGCAGGCTCTGGGAGCGCCCAGCTTGTCTGACAGCACTGGTGACATTCGTGCTCGGAACCCCGGCGCAGTGTCACAGAGGTGCTGAGTACTTCTCAGAGCATCTCTGAGTCCTGGGCTGGGGTGTCCAGGGGCCCTGTCACAGAGGCACCCCCACCTGTCCCAGGGCCAGCTGTCTTCCCTGTCCCCAGCCTGCCCTGCTGGCCTGGGCCCAGGTGGCCCAAAGGTCTTTCCTTCCCTTGGCCCATACTTGCCCCAACTGGCCAGAAACCAGCTCTGCTTCCAGGCCTGAGGATGTGGTAGGCGCCGCCCAGGTCGTCTGGGTGAGAGCCACCTGTGTGGCCAGCCTGGCCCCAGGGCCCTGACACCTGGGCTGAATCTGCACCCTGCCAGACTGCAGACTCACATTCCTCTCTCAGCAGTCAGAGTGCCTAAGAGCTGGCGGCAGGAGGCAGGTCGGCTGGGGTGACACTCGTGATTGCATAGTTCATAGTTCCCCGACAGTGTCATCCTGACTGTGTCCCAGGGCCTGCTCCATGTCACCCCTCTGGGCAGCCTGCCTCCGGGAATGGGTAGGCTGTCCCTAGGTGGGTCTGGCTCCTTGGAAGGGCCTCTGCTCCAGGCCTTGTCCCCTGATTCCAGTATGTCCGCTCAGCTGCCCAGGGCAGGGCTGTGTGTCCCATGTCCTGGTGAATCCTGGCACAGAGCACAGCACGGGCTCTCAATAAATCCCAGACCAGGCAGGAAGGAGCAGAGACCATGCTCAGGCCTCTGAGAAGAGGAACAATTAGTGCCCAACACGCCCTGGTTGCCTGAGAGGAGAGACAGCCGGGAAGCAGCAGAAGGTCGTTCTGCCCAAGGTCAGAGCAGGTTCTCGAGAGCCCAGTTCCTTGCTCCTTTGCTCCACGTTGACAGACTGTGGTCACCCAGTTGCCATGGCAGCACCAGTCATCTCAGGTGTGTGGCTCGCCCTTCTTCCCTCCCATCCTTGGATCCCTTCTTCCTCCCCTCTCCACTACTTAGCTACATCCCGTGTCCTTTTTTATTCCTTAGTTTGGACAGAGTCTCACCAAGTTGCCCAGGTGAGACTCAAGACTTTTGACCCTCCCGCCTCAGCCTCTCGAGCTGCTGGACAGGCAGCAGTGCTTTATGTTTTATAAAATGCGCCCAGGGACCCTGGCCCTCTGCACCTCACTGTGAGGAGCTCCCAGGGTCCCTGCCACGTGGCATGGCCTGGGTACCCCACACAGTGGGACAAACTCCCAGCCCCAGTCCCCTCGACCTGAGGTGGGGTCGCGGCTGGAGGACACTCCGGTGTGGACCTCAGGTCCTAGGAGGTCGGACCGCTTTCCCCTGCCTTGCTGGGGACCCGGGGCTCTCAGCGCTGCTCTGCTCGGCCCCCGGGCCTGGAGAACGCAGTTCCCCCGCTGAGAACCAGAGCCCCTGACCGCAGCTGCTAGGGAAGGAGGCCCTCCCCACGTCCGACCCCTCTGCGCCCCGCAGGCGCCTTCTGGTGGAGACGCAGGACGTCCGGGACAACCCCGGCGCGACCCCGGCTGAGACGTTGAGAGCTGCTAGCCTTGGCCCTTCAGGTTCCCTGTCCCATCCCCGCGGTCCCGCACCCCATCTTCGCGTACCCCGTTCCAGTCCCTCCGTCCCCGTCCCCGCGGTTCCACACCCCATCCCGGGTGGCCGCACTAACCCATCTTCTTCAGCGCGCGCGACCCCGGCCTCGGGGCAGTGC